ATAGATAGATAGATAGATAGATAGATAGATAGATAGATAGATAGATAGGCAGATCAGTGGTAGGTAGCTCTCTGGTTAAAACATCAAAACATGGAGTTCTGGACAAAAACACAGGACAGTTCTGGAAGCTTTGAGGACTTCTTCCTCACCCAGTGACATGGAGAGAATGTTCTGGAACATTGTGGCAGAGAGGTAGATGGATTTCTACAAATGTGTTGCTATTCTGCTTCGTGATCTTCTGTTTTACTTGGTCTTTCCTTGACCCCAGTCAGGTTGGGTGGGAGGACTCTTCCCTTTTCTAATCCAGTTATAGTGAGCCCACTCTGTGGGGTGATACACAGCAGTAAAACATTGAGCTTCCTGCCTGTGGGCTTCTTAACCCACCAAGAAAAAGCCCAAAGCTGATGTGGGACACACAGGAGTTGGGGAACACAAAAGCATATCAGAAGCTTCCAAACAACCTCCCAGAAAACAGGAGTTACCATCCAGGGCCTAGGAGGAAGAGACCGTATCCATTTGGGCAAAGGCCCAAAGTTAAACGTGATCCTGCCGCACTTGGAAAGTTGAGGGGGCTTCATGGTGCCAAAGGATGAAGGTGGCTGGAGAAACTATTAGAGAGAAGAGAGCAGCACAGGGGAACCTTTGTATGTTGTGTGAAGGGCCATGGCTAGGTGGGGGACTTCACAGAAACATCTGGCCTCTTCCACCGCCCTCCCTGCATACAGCGGAGGGGCTGAATGCTGGAGTCCTGTCGGGCTGAGACTCCCTCTGCAGCTCCCACACAAACACACAGAGTGTTGAGGATGGCACAGGCAGTCATCGAAGGGAGCTTTCAGAGAGAGTTTAGCCAGATTTGCTCATATCAATAGCAAAGTGTAAAAAGCGAGCTGAGCTAGAAAGGAGTGGCTACTGCTTTCACAAGGAGTGCTTCGAAATGACTCCGAAGCCTAAGGGCAGGGACTGGCCTGGTGTGTGCCTGGCTCCTCACTTCTGCCTGCCTATGTGTGTGTGAGATGAACAAGTGGGTAGATGGACCAGTGGATGTAGGAGAGAAAGGTAGAGAGAAATGTAGAGAGAGGGTGATGATGGAGGAAGAAGAGAAGGAAGGGAGAGGAAAGGAGGGGGGAATAAAAGAAGGGGTGAGGAGAAGAGAAGGAAGGAAGGGAGAAGCAGAGAGGAGAAAAGAGGAAGAGAAAAGGGAGACAGGGAGTGGTTTTAAGACAGGGACAGCCAGATGGAAGAACAGGTCCTTACTAGTGTCAATAAACAGGGGTGTGGGTGCTGTGTAAGATTTCTGGATTCGTTTGATAGCTGGACACTCCATCGCTTGCTAGATGGAAGGCACAATCTTGGTGACTTGATGTGTCCGACAAGAGAAGGCTGCTCCCAGTGCCACACTAGGGTTTGCCCCTAAGACAGGGTGACAGCAAGCCAGACCTGTAGCGTGGCAAGTAGGTGGGGCTAGCTGAGTCTCACACTCCCTGGGGAATTATCTGAGTGCTCTAGTGATACAGGACTCTATAGCTGTTGAGCGTCTGGCCCCAAGTTGAGAAGGTGCTCCCCACCAGAGTGAGAACCCAGTGAGAGAGGTGCTCCCCACCAGAGTGAGAACCCAATGAGGGAGATGCTCCCCACCAGAGTGAGAACCTAGTGAGAGAGGTGCTCCCCACCAGAGCGAGAACCCAGTGAGAGAGGTGCTCCCCACCAGAGTGAGAACCCAGTGAGGGAGGTGCTCCCCACCAGAGCGAGAACCCAGTGAGAGAGGTGCTCCCCACCAGAGTGAGAACCCAGTGAGAGAGGTGCTCCCCACCAGAGTGAGAACAGTTGTAATGTAAACCGAGCCAGCCACTCCAGACCCAGCAGCATCCAGCCAGGACTACAAAACAGGGACAGGATAGTGGGACTTTGGGGAGTTTGTTCTTGGTTTTGAATCTGGGTCTACACACAGACAGACCTCTAACCCCAAACCATACAGCCTCAACCCTGTGGGTCCCCAGGCTGACTTCTCTGCCTGGTCTACAAAGTTTGTGGATGGCTCCTTCCCTTGTGACCCTTCAGTGCTGTGCTGGGGATTGTTGTCTTCCCTGCAGGAGTGGGGAAACACACAGCATCTGCATGCAGAGTTAGCCAGCCAGCAGGCTCATTCACCTAGGTGAACCAGAGACCCAGGGTCACAGGAGCTCCCTGGGGTCAGACAGGCCAGAGGTGCAGGTGAGGCAATGGCTCAGAAGAGCCTGGATTCAACCTCAGTCTGAAGTCAGGCCAGGGCTAGTCCCCAGGCCAATCCATCTACCTCCCATCCCTATGGTGGCATTTCACGCACGCACGCACGCACACAGAGTGTATGAGCTTGACTGAGAGATATTCAGGGGGAGGTCATTAGCTGGGGCTCTGTGTGGCTTCCTGAAGCCTTAGGTTCATTCTTGGCTAGTCTCTGAGCTCCCCAGCACCCTCCACTCCTCTGATCTGGATCGGAAAGCACTGTAGGTCTTTAGCCGATCTTCAAAGGGAATGAACATGACCAGAGAACCAGGAGGTGGAGGAAGAAACTGCGTCTAAATTCCTCAGAGGAAATCAGTGTCTGGCAGAGGCCCACACACATCTGGCCCAAGGACTTCTAGTTACACCCTGTAGGGAAATGCCCACTGTTTGCACCTAAAACTCAGAAGCAAAACAACCAGCTCGGGAGACCCAGTAATGGTAAGCAGTGTTGTGTTGAACACAGACATTCACGTGCTCCTTCAGTGGCCGTTCTGGCCGCAGGGAAAACATTTGCCACTCCAGCCTCCCTGGCAACAGTCTGCACAAATGGAAGGCTACCTATGGCCATCCCAATTTGTCCCCTGCAGCTGGGAGGGTCCATAAACATCGCAGCTGGGAGCTGCTGCTGCTGCCCCTGCTGCCCCTGCTGCTGCTGCTGCTGCTGCTGCTGCTCCTGCTGTCCCTGCTGCCACTGCTGCCACTGCTGCCCCTGCTGCTGCTGCTGCTGCTGCTGCCCCTGCTGCCCCTGCTGCCACTGCTGCTGCTGCCGCTGCTCCCCAGGCTGGGCTGGGAGCTTGAGCTGAGCTGGAGGTGGAGGGAGGAGTGCCCAGGAGAGTGATGACATCAGCGGCCAGCCCTTGAAAGATGAGCTGTTCTCGCGTGCCACTCCAGCTCAGCTCCTCAGAAGACGGAGCAGGACTGTCAGGACGCACGACAGGCAGTCGCTGGACCTGGACTACGGGACTCACTAGAACACAGACACCGCTTGCTCCAGAAAAGGTGAGTGTCCAACAAGAGCTAGTCCAGGGAGAGTCCAAATGTCCCAGCACAGAGAGGTCCTGGTCAGAGGCTGGGACAAGTCCCAGGCTCCCGGGGGTTCTATAGTCCTGAGGAATTGAAGGAAGGCTCCCTTCCTCTCCTAAGTCTGACAAACAGGAGGATTTTCCCCTTCGGTTCCTGCTCATCTCCCCGTACCCCGAGCGGCCGCGAGAGGCCAGTGATTTGAGTTTTATAGGCTCCAGGTGGACACCGTGGGCTAAAGCAGGAAGCAGCACAGTGCGAGGCAGCTGCGGGACAGGTGTGGTGAGAGTAGCTTTTCACTCACTGGGCCACTGATGGTCCCTTGAGAGTCTCTGTAATGTCTGAGTCTTGCTTTCTCTGTCTGTAAGGTGGGCTTGACTGCTCCTTGGAGCCGAGGTTAAGACAGCAAAGAGACTTTGTCTCCACGGGCTGATGTGCCCCATCTGTGTCGGTGGTGGCGGCTTTAATCCGCAAAGGCTTTGTGTCATTCCCGTCCTGGTCCTTCTTCAAGGTGGTGGCCATGGGTGAGCTTGGTGTGTTATCTTGGGTTCGAGTCCCAGCTCTGCTTCCATGTCCCGTGGGTGACATTGTTAGTGAAGGTTTTGTATTGCAAAGCCAGGGCCTCAGAGAAGACTTAGTGACTCCTTTTAATGCAGAGACAGAAATCTGGTCCTCCTGGGACATGTTACACGTGTGGTTTACGACTCCCATTGCTGGTAGTTGGTAGCCTGTGTGGGGTGGCCGCAGTGATGTTCGTGGGTTAGGCAGGTTAGAATGTGCCTTCCTGAGTCACAAGCTGCCGGTGGCTCTCTCAAACAGTGCACAGGAAGCAGGAGCTCTGGCTGGGTATGGGTGTGGTGCCGTACTAGCCACAACTCCTGGACCTTCTGTGTCTGAGGGCTTATCAGGGAACTAATGCCCCTACTGTGACCCAACAGCAGTGAGGGTGATGGGAACTCCCCCACAATTGTGAGTATTAGGAACTTAGAGTTTGTTCTTTTCCTCCGCTTGCTGGAGAAAACATTAAAGGTGGAAAAGCACGTGCGCTTGCCTGGCAGGGAACCCTAGGAGCTCATGCCAGGCATACCCTGAATGTCTACACTACAGCTCGATGTATTAAAAAGGCCTCTGTAACCGCGCTCTTCAAAGCCCCCAGCACGAATGGGGAAACTGAGTCTGGAGGAGACAACAACCTCACCAATGTTTTGTGTACACCGCCCAGGGAATCCCATAACTATGGGATTCAGGCTCTGTCACCTTTAAATAAGGGAAAGCTAGAATGATTGACTGAGCCAGTGTGAGGAGACTGCTCTACAGAGAACCCATCAGACGCCAAGCAAAGGGGACCGAGCCCAGAATAGCTGGACCGTATGACCTCTGCTAATGCAGTGACTGATTGAACAGAAATTTCAGGGTGTCTGAGGGTAACATTGGGGCTGCTCCTCTCTGCTGTGCAGCTGTGGCCAGCAAGGGGCCACATGGTGCAAGGGAGAGTCCTGTAGATCTGCCAAGAAGCCTGGGCTTGCAGAATGAAGATGGGAACTGCCCCTCTGCATCTATCTGCTCATGGGCTACACAGTTCTCTGCTTGAGAACGGCCCCCATGGTTACTGTTTGCTGAGCACATGAGAGATTGGACGAATGAATGAGTATACAGTGGTCGCGGAGAAGGACCTGAGAGCATACAGCTGTCACTAAGTCAAAGGCGCTGGTTTGGAAAGGTGACACTGTGAGCATTCTGGGGAAAGATAAGCTACAGGGACAGCAGGGGTTAGACGGGAGCCCTTTGTATTTTCCCCTTAAGTGTCCTGTGCATCTAAGACCATTGGGTGGTGGTGGCGCAGGCCTTTAATTCCAATACTCGGGAGGCAGAGGCAGGAGGATCTCAGAGAGTTTGAGGCCAACCTGGTCAACAGAGCAAGTTCCAGGATAGCCAGGGCTACACAGAGAAACCCTGTCTCAAACAAACAAACAAAGGCCAAAGGTCATCAGTAAAGAGATCCAGATTCACTCACACCTGAGTCCCCGAGTGACCACTTCTAATGTGCTCCTTGGTTCATGAATCCCCAGCCTGTAAGCAACTGTCTTACTGTGCATGATGCTTGGATCAGAGAGCCGGCCATTGCCATGACCTGGACCATCTCAGGAGGGCTGTAAGGCTAGCAATCCCTGCCTCAGGCAGAGGTAACCAGCTTCCCCAAAGCCAGGACTCCATTAGCTGTTGTGAGGGTTACACTGGTCAGCTCTCCTTGGCCTCTGTAGATGGAATGTCCACAGTCCTTCATCTTCCCTCTATGAAAGGGACTGGATGGCAAGCTTCCCTGGTTTTCTGGGGTGCCTACACCCAAGGCTGCATTCCAGAGCAGACTGAAGAATCCATCTTGCTCTGATTCCATCACCAAGGTGGCGGCTCAGAGACTCTGGAGGCCAGAAGACTGTGGAATCCCGTAACCCCTCCCCATTGTCAGAGGCCAGAGTGAGGTGACACAAACAAGACCTGGGGACCAAATCTCAACTGTGTCACTTACTGAGGGAGACTTTCTCAGTCTCAGCTTGCTTGCCCGTGATGGGGACAATCGTCCCCATTTCAGGGGAGTCCTGCAAAGCCCCTTAGAGCAAAGGTTAGATGGATACCTCTGAGTATGAGACCCCTTTCCCTCTTCCCTGTCCTTCCCTCCCCATACCTCCCCTCCCCTCCTCTCTTCTCTCCTCTCATCCCCTGAATCTCTCCATCCCTACCACGGCCTACAGCAAGTGATTTAGCTCCCTGAGCCTTGGCTCTCTCAGCTATAAACGGTAATTGAATCAGAAACCATCTTAAAACTCAAATTGGAACCCCCCTGAGAGTGTGATGCCTGAAGGGACAGCCCTACTGTCTCACAGCGGTGCCACTGGGAGGCTGGTCACAAGAAGGTGAGGGGAAGACAAATGCTGTCGCACCGCCAAAGCACAGCCCGCGGGCAGTGGCTTCGGCATCAACACTGTGAACTGTCTAGTGCTACTTGAGTGTGAGGTTCCCCACGCACCAAAAATGTTAGCCTGAGAGACGCATGTTTGTTGCTGTGGTTTGATTATTATAGGATGCATCCAGTCAGTCACTGCAATGTAGTCCATAAAGAAACACTTATATCTCAATATTTTTAAAAAATGAGGGTCAGGGATGTGCCTCAGAGCACTTGCCTGGTGTGGGTGAAATCCTGGATTCCTCTTCTAGCGCCTCGAAAACTGAGTAGCTAGTTTTTTGTCAACTTCGTTCAAGCCAGAGTTATCTGGAAAGAGGGAACCAATTAAGAAAATGCATCCAAAAGACTGGCGTGTAGGTATGCCATTTTGTTAAGGCATTTTTTAATTAATTAACAAGAGCATTTTTCTAATTAATAATTGGTGTGGAAGGACCAGCCCACTGTGGTGGTGTCCTCCCTGGCCAAGTGGTCCTGGGTTGTGTAATAAGAAAGCAAACTGCGCACGCCAGGAGGAGCGAGCAAGCCAGTCAGCAGCTTTCCTCCAGGGTCCCTGTTCCAGTTCTTGCCTCCAAGTTCCTACCTTGAGTTCCTGCCTTGGAACTGTGTTCCTCTATGGACTGTGTTCCAGGATATGTAAGCCAAATAAACCCTTCCCTCCCCAGGCTGCTTTTGGTCATGATCTTTCTCACAGCAACAGAAAGCAAACAAGACAGATTGGTTGCTCAGCTGTTGCATGCAGAAGTGAGGACAGTGGACCTGGGAGTGTCTATGTGTGTCCTTAAACATGGACGTGGGCATCTCCTGTGAAAGCCAGGCATCTGAAAAGAGAAGGGATCAGATGCCAAGAGACAGTATGAAGTTGGAAACCCGGGGATTGTTTTACCTTTTATTAATATCAAATCCATGCACAATAATTACAAGACAGAAGGAGGAATCTGGGTTGTGTCACCAGCTGCTGTAATGATCCCACTGTGGAAAATGCTCTACACTTCAGAGTCGTAACCTCATTCCCAAATGGCCAAGGGGAACTTTAAGCCATAACTCTGCCAGCTCCCACACACCCAGAAAGAACAAGCATCATCTTCGCCTTCAGTTCTTACCTAGTCACATACCCAGAGAAGACCACACCCATAGGGCCAAGCCACCCCAATACAATTTGCTGTCAGATCGAATTCTCACAACATTTTCCCCCTTTTAGTCTAAAATAAAAAGGAAGGTTCTAATTCTAATATAAAACTGTGTACAATAAGAACTATAAATTAGGTTTTGTTCCCAGCACTATGGAGGCAGAGGCAGGTGGATCTCTGTGAGTTCAAGGCCAGCCTGGTCTACCGAGTGAGTTCCAGGACAGGTTCCAAAGTTATCTATAGAGAAACCCTGTCTTGAAAACCCAAACAACAACAACAACAACAAAGAACCATATCAAGTAAGAACCACATCTTTGATATCCAGACTGTAGGTAAAAGGCAATTTTTATAGAGATTGCTCTAATAGTTGTCCTTTCCTAAAGAGTCTAAGTTTGTACCTAATATGTCCTTAGCTAAGATTCATAAGGATTAAAACTGTAACTATGTAGTCTTCAACCCCATCACAGTCCTGAGAAAAAATAATTACCCAAGTAAGCAGGAAGTTCAGACAAGCGATTTCTCTTGCAAATTGAAAATTTGCAAGAACAGCCTGGACAGTCACCCAAGATTTCTCTGTGATGTTGGGGCTTCCAACCTTGACTTATAGGCCTAGAATATCTAACAGACCATTTTCAGAAGCAGGAAATTTTGAAGGACTGGCCTACCTTGTCTCAGCAAAGTTTGGCAGTTACTTTTTCTTGTGTCCTGCTTATCTGGATTGGACATCATGTTTACTGTCAGCAGTCAAGGCAAGAGAAGGTTTTTTTCTCAATGTACCAATTTTGCCAAGAAGAAAACAAACTCCATATGGAGAGTCTTCAGTGCACATAATCCTCTCAGGAGTAGATCGGTGCTGCCAGGAGCAGTCATGTCTTACATCAAGAGAATTC